AACAAGTGCCCATAAAAAAATATAAGAATCACAATGCAGGAAACAAAATTATGTATGTGAAATTTGTGAAATGCTCGTTGATATGGTATGTTCAGTGATTATCCGTACAAACATTTTCGATAACAATGATTAACACACAAACACGCACACATGTATAATTAACACTAAAACATGTACACATAAGCTTAAAAAAAACTATTACTTTGTAGCTGGTGGCATCATACAACACACAACTCACTCTCGGTTGCCTTTTAGGAAGGAAGCCAGTGACAGCAATCCCTAGCTGCAAAATGGGAATTTCATACAGTGTGACATGCGATGAGAAGCACTAAATTTTGAAAATATCCAATAAACTATGGATAATATGTATTGGCTGAATCATCTGTTCCATCTTCTAATTGGAGACAATAAACGAATGATTTTAAGGTGGAGTTTGATTTTTTGAAATAAAATACAATAAAGTGTTCCAATATAATAAGTATGTGAGCAGAACCGTATTTCAAAATATCTTGCCTTTTTGATTTACAAAATTTGCATTATATTTGCCCAGAAACTGTGCAAACAAAACAACGAGAAGTGGAAGAGTGTAGAACTGTAGCAAGAAAAACTTTTTCATAATATTTGCTATTCAAGCTTCCTATAACCCTTCAAGACCAAAAAACTCCTAAGCGATAATATATTTTTGGTTTCACTGAGCATTGTATACAATTTACCTCAAAAAACACTGTGCAAAGAGAGAAAATTATTAGTAGTAAGAAAATATGGCACGGTATTATTCAGCGGTTTGTAGAATATGACGATGGTGATGATGGGCTAAATCCGCAAGCAGCGTGACACCACTGAGACCGGCAAAATCGATGGATGAAAATGATCGGGGATGAGTGCTGCTTGCAGCCTCGTTATTTTCAGGAAGAGCTACTGCTCCAGCTCCTGGTGCCGCTAGCATGGTGCTGGTATTGGTTGTTAGGGACTGACTGGACACAGATCCAGGACTGACTGCTGAGCCGCACTGTTCCACGTCGCTACTCCATTCTGTCGCACCGGTTGAACGCAGGCCAAAAGTTGCACTGCTCATATTTGTTTTATTTTTCATCAAGTTTTTGTATTCATTAATTCTAACTTTCCTGCCGTCAACCACGCAAGTCCGCTTTGGCCTAGGTCTGAAATTTGCACTTATGTTTTAAGGCCATTTTTACGCGTCATTACATATTTATGCAAATGCAAGGATAGATGTAGACGAGAGGTTTTCGGTATGTGTGTGTTTATTCGGATTTTTGTCACTTACCTTCAACTCAGCAACAGCAGAAGCTGGAAAGCTGAAATTCCATAAAATGCTCCTAGCCCAAGCGTGATCCTGACAGCTCAAAATCAATGTCCACTTAAATCTGGGTCTCAAGCACGGATGTTAAAAGAAATCCAAACTGCAACAGATCAGGTTTGTCGGTGCGACCATATGTTTTTGCGCTAAAACTGCATATTGCTAACAGCGGGAATGTTTCCTGCGTTTGAACTCATATTGGCTGTGTTTTGGTCTCTTCCCGCAAACAGAGGGAAAAGGCATCGGTTGGGATGAAGGTGCTA